GCCCCCCCGGCTCCGCCGCGGCGCGGTGCCGGCCGGGCTGGCCTCGGTTACCGGGGGAGTTCAGCCACCTGGGCCATGGTTTGACGCTGGATGAGAGAAGGCATCGCGCCCTCCGGCCCTGTCGCGTGGCCGCACGATGTTTACAACAGCCCTGCCAGGGTTTCTGGCACCTGATGTCCGCGGGCCCCTCTGGGTTCTCGGGCTCCTTTTGCAGCATCGTTCCTTACTCATTGACTTATGGTTTGGGGCTCTGGGACGGCAGAGCCTTGCTGTGACCCAGCTTCTCTTTTCTTCTTTTCTTTTTTAAAGTTTCCCACTAACCTACACAGTTCCGACTCAGGCAGAAAATGGAGTTATATAGCTAGAACTGTGTTGTTTCTCAAAAGTAGCTCCCTTTCTCTCCTTCTCTCCCAAAATCCAGGTGGGGGAAAACATGAATGAGGTAAAGGAGGCTCTAAGAAACATAGAGCAGAACTACAAGCTCTTCCTGCAGCAGCAGTTTACGTTTATCGGAGCACTGCAGCACACCCGAGAGAATGCACATGACATGATCAGACCTGTGGCAAGCATCAGCCAGGTACAAAGCACTCGGCACAAAGTTCTCTGCTGATGAGGGCAGGGACCAGCACAGCGCTGTCGCGCACGTCGGTCTAGTTCAGGGATGAATAAATGTTTTTACTAAGGGAAGATGCACAAAAACTCTCCAGTAACATTTGTGTATAACTCTGCAAACCAGCAGCGAAAGATTAAGTAGGGGAGAGAAATACCTATTTTAGGCCTTCCCATTTACAGAGAAGGAATTTTATTGCTGAGCATCACTTTATGATTTAGTTTAACGCTGTCATTTTGCTGCTGAGGCATAGCCAGAAATACAGGGTACAAGAAAACAATCAAACCAACCCTCCTTCCCCAGCCACACATGGAATCTGTAATCCTTAACTTGTAGTAACCAGCATGCTTGCCTCTTCCCCCTGGTATTGGAGCTGCTGTATCTTTCTATAGTGCTTATTAAAAATAATGGCTGTGTTACAGAGGTAGGATGATGGACTGAGGGCTGAAAGTCCCAAGTGGGCTAGGGATTTTCTGGGCTGGTAAGTGAATTGTCTTGGAATTTTTATAACATGGGATGTTTTAAGTAGTTCGAAGAACTTAGACCACCTGCAGACAGAGAGGGAAGAAAAATCTAAATAAAATTAGAACTGTGGATGTAAGTCAGCAGCAGAACCCAAGCACAAAACCCAGGTGGATACCAAAGCCAGCGTGAAAGCCAAGCTGTTACTAGGATTAGGGCACAGAAGTGAGCTGGTTGTCTTTTCTAAGGGCTGGCTCCCTCGAATATAAGGGCTTTACTCGTGACATTGAAGAGGATCGCAACAGATATTATGCTGAACCATTTTTTCCAAAACTAGGCACTGCGATTTAGTATAACATTATGCTGTTTTTAACAGTGCCAATATTTCAGTGGTACTGAGCAAGCTTGGACCCTGCTTCTTGGCAGAGGTGGAAGTCCTGCTTGTTGTGGGGGGTGAAACCTCATCAGTAACGACTTCAGCAATTACATTGACCCACGGCATCATCTGTGATACAGTAATGTGTGAACTTAGTGGTGGCAAACCATATTGTACGGACAGCCCTGAGCATACAACCGCATTACCCCCAGCGGGAGGACCAGAAAGGGAGCAAGTTACTGGGGAGAACAGGGAGCAACTGGTGCAGCATGTACTGCTGACAGGTTGTGCAGAAAGTTCACTGAGGACAAAACCAGACATCCACTTTATTTCACTACCATTCTCCTGAATCAGCCCAACCCTATTTCTGATTTTGCATGGGAGAGCACTAGAATAAAAGCAACAAATGCCGAGGTATATGTGGTCTCAGCCTA